CTGTCTTAGTGGAGCATCAGCCCAATGGGGGGCATAATAAACATCAAGACTTTGAAATGCTTGGGGATCTCAGAGAGGAGAAGTGCATACGGAGCTAGAGAGACAAGTAAGAATACAGATCAGCCCTCATGTAGCATGTTCCAGTGGGGAGATCGGACATTTACCCAACTGTCATGTAATGTAGAAAATGAAAAACTCTAAGAGGTACAGTTACACAACTAAAGAGGGGGGTATTAAATACTTCCATTCAAGGAAGACTTCATGGAGGTGGTGACATGAAAGTTGTCTTTGAGGGATACATAAGATTAGCAAAGTTAGAGACCTGAGGGAAGGATCTCTTTGACAGTGAGAAGATTATGGGTAAAAAGATACAATTCTGGAACTCCTAGAAGATACAGATTCTGGAACCCTTGGATATAGTTGTTAGGCAGTAAAAAGTTACATTGAGGAAACATGGGACTGGTAAAGACTAAGAGGAGATAAAGTTTGGTAGTTGGGTTGACACATGAGCCTGGCATCCTTCAGGAGAATTTTGGATCAAATATATGTTCAAAAATATTTGAAATTAAAATATTTGAAAATCATTGAAATGTAATGTCTTTCAAGGAGCTCTGGTAGCATAGTGCCTAAGGCACTAACTAAGACTAACTAGAAGGCTGGCAGTTCAAACCCACTGGCCACTCCTTGGAAGGAAGGTTGGGCAATCTACTTCTGTAATGATACCACCTCGGAAACCCAAGGAGGGGTCACTATGAGTCAGGTCCAACTCCACGGCACATAACAACAACAACAACGTCCTTCATGAAGGTATATACCCTCCAGTTTACTACAGTGTCCACCACGCTCTGTTATCCTACTCCAGTAGGTAATCCAGTCTTCTTCCCTGTCAGAGGCAGCATAGCACAATGGGTAAGCATACAATCTCGGGAAATTGCCTGGATTGATGCAAATTCTGGATTTGTCAACTATTAGGTTCATAGCCTTATTTAAATTACTTAATCACTCTGATCTCATTTCTTCATCTGCAAAATGGGTATGATAGTCACTTAGTCCCTTTGTCATGGAGTTGTATGGATTCAACCCACGTAAGTATCTAGCACAGCACCAGGCACATCAAACCAAACCAAATCCACAGCCACCAGTCCATTCTGACTCATAGCAACCCTACAGAACAGAGCAATACAGAAGCAGATGCCTCATCTTTCTCCGACAGGGCAGCTGGTGGGTTCTAACCACTGACCTTTTGGTTAGCAGCTGAGTGCTTTAACCACTACACCACCAGAGATCCTTACCAGGCACATAGCACTGAATAAATACATGTTAATATTATTATTAAATTACTCACCTGGGTCTTAAAGGAGTTTGCATTTTCAGCTCTATTTTGGGACCACTGGAAGTTTTTAAGAAAGTAAGGAATACTTTTTTACCTTTCAGATCTATTGAACTGAACCCTGCTTATATTGTGTGGTAATTAAGGCTGCAAGTGTGAGTGGCTTGGCAGCTGGTTGTAGTTTTTACCCATAATGAGACTGGAATAATCGCCATGGTAGAATCTGCTGTAAGCAGTTAACCAGTCGAAGGAGAGCTGCCTTTGGGGTGTGGGCTGCTTCCAGTATATATGGAGAAGCTTTGAGAAAGGGCTCTAGCTTTTGGCACATTTTGGGTCCTGCCTTTGGCCAGTCTTCATCTCTAGCTCCTGGACTTGAACCAGTGGCCTGCTGTGTTGCCTGCTGATCTTGGAGTTATGCCACTTTACCTGTCAATCTTGGATTCATCAGCCTCAGTAGCCAGCAGCTGCATGAGGCAGGAGAAGCCTCTAGCTCGCTCCAGTGGGCCTGGAACAAGAGCCCAAGGTCAAGGAGCCTGCACCTAACCCCGAGAGCTGGCACTCTGAATTTGAACTTTGAGTCTCCTAAGCAGTGAGAGAATAAATTCCTGTTTGTTAATCCACCCATTCCTGGTATCTATTATAGCAGCACTAGAGAACTAAGACGTATTGTAGTGAGTAATAGAAGGGTAGCTGATTGTTCTGTTAAATCCTCAGCTGCTGGGGTTAGGATTTTTAGTGATAAGTCTCAGTGTGGTTTCTAGAAGCAAATCATTCATTCCTGCACTAACTCACACTTGCGAAGGTACGTGGAAGAGGAAACAGCCAACTTTGCCCATTACTGAGTGGCCAGTGACTCTTGGGACAGCAGATTCCCAGGAGAGACCCTGGGCTTCAATGGCTGGCCTCACCTTCAGAACGTGTCACTAAGAGCTTCACGTAGTCTTGAAAACTCCTTATGATTCCAGAAGTTTCTCTGGTAAATTGTTCATTTTTAATGGCTGAAAAATGGAAAGTCTTGTCTGCACTTTAACATAGAATTTTTGGCCCTCAAAATGAGAACTTAAAGATAAGAGTTTAGAAAATACTAGGGTGAACAAAATAACTCTTTCGTAACAGCGCTATGAGCTTCATAGACAAGGATGGCTAATTGTGTAATTGTCAGCGCTGCTTCCTGGCCAGGTCTAACACCCGCTTCCTATGGAACAACAAACATTCAATGCCGAGAAGGGAACCACAGTTGCTGAGTGCCGTGGGCAGACAAACCCAGACCTTATCTCTTTCACAGGCAGCCATGGAAAATGCATGATGAATTGTACCGCTCACTGAGCATGTTATGTCATTATGAAATGGTTCTGATTCATGGTTATGTGTTTAATGCTAAACAACTGACAAACCTCAGGTAGCAGAAATTTTATCATTTGTAAGGCTTTTAGTTTTCTGTTGCAAAATTCAAGTGCTATGAAGTGGCTTGTTTCTCTTTTTTATTTCAAAACCCATATTGAAACTGAGATTTGCCCCAAAACTCTTTGGAAATAATTTTGAAAATTTTGTGAATTCCTGCCAGAAGTGTCAAAGAGCTGTGTCAAGTCACTAATATTTTAAATATATAAACAATTCATATTTTTTTGCTAATATCCTTTTATGAAAATTCTTATAGCTAAATTAGGCAAAGTTGTCATTCAATTTGATTTTAAAATAGAAGTATCATAATCGCCTTTTCTATGGCTTATCAATGTAAGTCATAAAATTTTACTGTTCTAATTTTGACAATTAAGTTTTTTAATGAGGTTTTGGATACTCTGAAGAATACCAGTTAGTGCATTGGGAGCTGGAAAACAACGCCATAAAGAAAACCTTGCCCCACAGTATTAACTGCTTCCTTCGTGGATGGATATTTCTAAAATAGAGCCATCAGGGAACCCTGAATTGGTTTTCCTTTCTGTTCATATAAGCCTTGAATTGCTTTTATTTTCTGTCCCTATGTTTTAATCAATTGACCTTTACCTGCACTTTGCATTTATTAAATTAAAATAATTTTTAGTAGCTTAGAAATACAACGTTCATAGTATTTTCCTTTTGGCCTTGGAATATGACAAGCCCATTCTCTAAATATTTACATCATTGGAGAATATCCATGGACTAATGCTGATTTTGACTTAAAATTCTCAAAGAATTAAGTCTTAAATTAAGTGTAGCTTTACCATGTGAAACCATGGATCATAGAACTCTATCCAAGTATCACAGCACGGCTCACAGCATTTTCTTGGGGTATTTTTACACCCTGAGCTTCTGCCACCATGACCACTTTCACCTTTATATTGAAAACTTCCAAAATGTGTCTGTGTGGGGATAATTTTAAAACCTGAGATTTATGTCGCTATAAAGAAGAAATCCTTTATAACCACATAAAATGATTGTCACCAGAAATTTCAGTCTAATTTTTACATGAAAGGGGATATATTTTATCTTTAATGCCTCGTTAAACTTTCTGAAAACTGTAATATTCTAAAACTATTCTAGGTGAATCACTACATATGTCTGTATATCTTCTGAAAAGTTCAAATAGTAGTAGTGAAAAAGACTAAAAAAATCATTTCTTCTAATAATGAAAGCAGCAGTGTTTGTTTTCTTCCGTTAAGTTGGCCTTCCCATGGAGATGTTCCTTTGCTATTTCTGCCACATCTCACTTGTCACTCTTTGAGTGATACAGCCAAAATCACCTTCGTAGGCTAAGATGATATTCTCACTATTTTAAAGATGATAATGTCTTTGAAGACAAATCTCTGTGCCTTTGTGAGCATATGCACACACGTGTGTCTTTGTATGCATGTTTATGTGTGTGTGTTAGTGCATGTTTTTATTGTTTGCACACATATCATACACCAGATTGTGTGTGTGGTGGTTAACAGCATAGACTCTGAAACCAGCCTGCCCAAGGTTAAATCTTCACCTGCCACTTCTTCGTAGGTGAATTTGAGTAAATTGTTTCACCTCTTACTTCTGTGTTCTCATCTTTTGGGGTTGTTCTAATATTTAAATAAGTTAATATACATAAAGCACTTTGAACAATAAGCAATCCATAGTAAGTATTTATGAAATAGTTGCTGTTACTATTATTAATGGAGCTCTGGTGTCATAGTGGTTGAGATATTCAGCTGCTATCCAAAAGGTCAGTTGTTCTAACCCACCAGCTGCTCCACAGGAGAAAGATGAGGCAGTCTGCTTCCATAAGGATTTACAGCCTTAGAAACCGTATGGGGCAGTTCTGTTCTGTCCTTTAGGGTTACTATGAGTCTGAATCGACTCAATGGCAGTGGGTTTAGTTTTGGTTTTTATTACAATTACCATCATCGTCATTTTATTCCTAAAGGCATATTATTTATTGTGTTTCAGTGGATTGTTATTAAATATGTATTTCATTATCTAGGCAAAGTTCCATAAGTTTGTGGTTCAAAAACTGCACGTCCAATATCAGGCAATGCATCCATTCATGCAAATGTGGGCCTATTGCACCTGTCCTCTATGCCAGGAGATGGTGTTAAAATGACACCTGTAGGCGTGTCCCATCACTAGGAACGCACCAGCTAGCTGACTGAAACATAGATAAGGTGAAAGTTAAATTGCAGCAGCATCTTAAATATACAAACATCAAACACGTTTTCTTTTTCAGGGAGCACCCAAGCCGATAGCCATTGAACCATGTGCTGGGAACAGAGCTGCTGTACTGACGGTGTTTCTCTGTCTCCCACGGGGATCGTCGGGCGCCCCACCGCCGGGGCAGTCAGGTACGATGAACGCCAGAGGCTGCCAGCAATTAAGCAAACAGTAAAGACCTTCACACGGTTCTAATTTAGAGCACGGTAAAATTTTATTAGAACACAAACCTTTACTTAAATATCTTGATATGTACATTGCCATAAAAGCAAGCTAGCTGGTATTTTTCTCATAAACACATATTGAGTTGTGTATCTGTGTGTATGTATAGACTAGAGTAATATGCACATGTGTGTATATTCATATACAGACACTCCAATGCATTGTTATAACGACAATGAGAAATTTCACAAGCAGGACAAACAAGGGCTTGTCTCTCTGACCAGCTTCTTTTCTTTCAGTATGCAAGTCCTAGGGATGCTAAATTATAAATATAATCAGAAGTTGGCTTTGTGACTGTGGAACCAAGCTAAAGGGAATTACTTGTGTGTTTTGAATGTTAGTGGCATTGGAGGAGGGTAGCTGGAGGCAGGTATCTCAACATACTCAGTATAGGTTCTTGCTTCCAGACAAGATGGTTCATAGGCCAGGGCACCCTCCCCTCCGATGGGCACAGCCAGCCTTTGCCTTTGATTTTTCATGTTCTATGTTGAGAACATGATGTGAATTTTGGTGTAATGGTAAGTATCCTCTTAGAAGTCTTCTGATTCTGTGATAGTGTCTGCATTGTAAACATGCTCAGTGCTGAATGTGGCCTGTGCTTCAATCCTTGCACTTAAATCTCTTTCACATGTCTGTTCCTTCTACTTACATTTTCTCATTTTTCTTCTCCTCATTGTTTTCTCTTTCCAAGTCTTCATGGAAGGGATGCTTTTGAGGGCAAGGGTGATTTCAAATCTGTTTTTTTCTTCAGTTCCTCTTAAGCATAAAATAAAGTACTAGAGATCGGGCAGTTTACCAAGAACAAGACATGAAGATGAAGTCACCACCTGCTTATTTAATCTTTATTTGGTTCCCTAGTTGGCTTTGACCTTGCTCCTCACTCTCCTGGTTTGTGTTCATCCAGACACAAAAATGGAAGACCCACGACTTTATACCTTATAAGCTAAGAAATTTGCTTAAGAGATTTTT